ATCTAAATTTACTTATTCTTTTCATCCATTTCATAACCGCTAGAATTCACTAAGCATATTTTGAAAGTTAACCATTTTCTTCTTGATTTAATCACTCAATCATTCAAAAGAGTGTTCCGTATAAGAGCACCTTTTCTGTGATTGTTTTTATTAGAAAATATTAAACTTGAACACACCATGTGAAGAGGAATTTTATGCCATTTACATTATTAAGGACCTCTTGATGAAATTTCACATTCTCACACAAAAATATTGGCCTGATCTAAACAAAGGCACATGTCTGTATGGCTCCATGAAGGACTTACATTTGGAAGGGGAGAAAGTAGTTTTTCATATTTATCCCTGAATCTGAAGATAGCCTGAATCTAAGCTTGGCTTCTAATTGCTTTCAGTTGCAGATTCTCATCCTTCGGACATTCTTTTTCATCACCACTTCCATTCTACATCAGTGTGTGTCTTGGAACAAGGTTTCACACACATCAGTGTGTGTATATGCATCAGTGATGTCTTTCAGTGCAGCTGCATGACTATCCAGCATTACACTGAGTGCCTGGAAATGTTCTTAGAAGGCTCGCATCCTATTTTTGTTACCTTCCCACTTTCACTTCTCATCATCACAAATACTTCACAATTTAAATTTATTTTGACTCATTTAACAGCCAGGCATTAAATGAAGCTGACATGTTCAAAACTCTGTTTTTAAAAAGGAAAGTGCAGGCTGTGCAAAAAGCCCCAGCTCATCTGTGGCAGTGGCGCATTAGGAGAAGGTCCAGATGGATCTACCAAATGGGTTTCCCAAGCAGCAGGATTGCGTTGGTGCCATGAAAGGTTCCTGTCTTGGAGTCTGGGTTCAATTCCTGTTGATGATAAAAAGAAATCTTAAATTTTTAGTGTGAGAACCCATGTTTTGTCTAATTAACTGAGGTCCACCTGGGCAAGCTGCACACACTGCTACAGGAGCTTTTTCCGTCTTTGTGTAAAACAAAATTACAAATCCTCAGGTCTTCAAAATGACACTGTTTCAGTAAGGAATTTTTGTGTGATTTTTCCATACAAACAAGATTCATGTGTGTGCGTGAAGACAGTAGGATATTTGGGATTCTAATTTTGATATGAATTACCTGTCAGGGGCATTCTAGAGTTATTTATGGTCTGTCTGCCCACAGTACTTCCAGTTTGTGAGCTCCCTTCTTTGCCTTGTCTCATGTGGTGAAAATTGAGGTATCTTTCAACTTCTACAAAATTCTTTTGCCAAATGGCAACATAAGAAGACACTAGAGAGACATTTAGTGATGGCACAAGAGGTGCTTAACCATCAAGCAAGAAATCTATTAGAATTGAATTTAATGTCTTCAACTGGATAACAGACATGTGAAGGCAGGAGCGAGATAAGAGGAACTGGTCTTTGTCCACAACACAGTTATGTCTGCAATCTAATGCTTGTATCCCAGAAGTACAAAGATTGTTTCAAAAATGGAGAAAAGCAAAGCTATTGCTTAAAAAAGGGACTAAGAAGTAAAAAGCAGTCAGTTATGGAGGATCTTCTCCTCGACAACATCTTGTCACGATAAATACAGCAGCCCCATCGGGCTCCCTGGCTCCAGGTGTTTAGTGGTGACTCAGATTGCACAGAAAACAGACTGTCTGGTCCTGCACCCCCACCTCAACCCTTCAGTGTCCCGCAGAGGTGTATAATAAACCAGAAGCCACGATGTCCTCTAGGCTCTGGCAGGAGGTCTGTGCTGTTGGTGGGCGCCATTTAGTCCGAGAGCTCACCCGTGGATAGCAGTGGCCCGTTCTGCCCAGGAGTTTGCTCGTTGTCTTGCTTGCTGCAGAGGGAGTGCCACTGTCCAGATAAGCAATTTGGTTTTGCTGGTGCCTAAAGACATTTTCAGATACCATTTTAGCTTCTAATGAAAGGAAGTCTCATTCACCTGAAACCAAGACAGGCACAGAAGGAACAAGATGACACTTCAGAACTTCCTTGCCCTTGAAACTTCCAGTTTATTTCCTGGCATCAGTCTGTGAATTATAGTTGACAACTAAGCAGCAAGTTCCAGATCTTAATGTGATGAGTATATTTGGCATATGGCCAGCCTGTACTGCACTCAGGTCAAGGATCACGGAATCAGATCTCTTACTCTCAGAGGGATTTTCTGATTAAGTATGTTGCCTTCCCCAGTCATTTAATTTCTTAAGTATTCTGATGTAATCTCATATCCTTCTACTCATAAAATAGAAGCAAAAATAGGAATGACACCTTAGGACACTTTCAAAGGAAAAGTAATAAGTAAATATGGAATGAGCATGTGAAACAGTCGCTTGCTCTAAAATCTGAGATACTTTGGCAGTGTGGGACAACTCATAGGACATGTCTAACCTTTACACAGAAAGTAAAGTAACCTTTACTTTACACAGAAGAGAGGGTCCTTCAGAAGTCAAGAACCATGCACCTCACAGTGTCTCTGGCTAGAAGACTGATAGAAGGAAGGAAGGGCAGGCTTGGGAATCCCTTCCTCTTGTCCACAATGAATATATAGAATCATAGAATTGTTTAAGTTGGGAAAAAACTCTAAGATCATAAAATTCAGCTGCTACCCCAGCACTTCCAGGCCCACCACTGAATCATATCCCCAGGTGCCACACCCACACTTTTTTTTTAACACTTCCAGGGGTGATGATTCCACTATTTCCCTGGGCAGCCTGTGCCAATGCCCGACTGTTCTTACCGTTTTCCAATATCCAATCTAAATTTCCCCTGGCACAACTTGAGCCTATTTCTTCTTGTCCTGTCTTTTGTTAACTGGGAGAAGAGACTGACCTCCACCTCACTATGACCTCCTTCCAGTTCATTGTGGTTGTAGGTGCCCCCTGAGCCTCCTTTACTCCAGGTCAAACAACCCCAGCCCCCTCAGCCGCTCCTCATGAGACTTGTGCTCCAGATCCTTCACCTGCTCCATTGCCCTGCTTCTTCAACTCTAAAGTTGTGGGGCCTATATACTCTTCTCAGGACATTTTAGTTTCATTCTGCAGTTTTCTGATTACAAATGTAATTAGTGGCAGGAACCTAAATGAACTTTGCTCAGTTAAACCTTCTGCTACACCTCTGCAGCTTGTCTACACACTACACACTGGTTTCTTTTCGGATCAATCAAGGAAGAGAAATCAAAGGGCATCAGCTGGAATCTGGTGTAAGTGTCTCACGGTCTGTGAACTGATGAACCACTTTTAGACTTTTGATACTTAACGAACAACTTCTAGTTGTATTTTTAGTTACTTCCCTCAAAACTTGCTAGATTTGGTGCATATTTCTGGTTAGTGTCTAAAAACCAATGAACTAATCTTACAGGTTCAGATTTACATTTGGAAATATCTGTTCAAAAGAGAGTCTAAAATGGGACTTGCTGAGAGAGTACAGCAGCTGAGAGAACAGCAGTTCATGTAACTTTGTTTTAATATTTTCAGCATTATTTTTCTATCCTGTTTTTCATGTTCCCTAAGACATTACTGGGCAGCTGAGAAAAAAACAAAACCAAAAACAAAAAACCCCCACAAAACAACAACAAAAAACCAAACCAAACCAAACCAAAACAAAACAAAAAACCCACCAAAACAAAATAAAACAAACCACCATGAATTCTGAAGAAAATCAAACTGTTACTTTATTCAACTCATTGCTTAAATCTGCCTCAAATGCTACCATGCCAGAAGAATGGAAGGTGGAAAATACAACTATTGAAGAGACTTCTGAGCTCACCAAAATCAGTGTTTGATGTCTGTGCCAAGTAACTGACTGGAAAACATAAGAAAGAATAGAACTGGTGAACTGAATGATATGTTGGAGAAGAATCAGCATTGCATACCAAGGATGTCTTGTTTTGCAAATCCATTTGAGATTCAAGGAATGATATTTATTTAGATAAAGATGGTTCTGATAAAATTAAATACTTGGATTTTAAAAAAAATTTGAGCTGGTGTTTTACCATATGCTCTCAAAGTGTGATCATATGGGATAAAGAGAAAATGATAAAAAAAAATCTGAAAGAAAGAAAACTCATCATTAGATTACACAATATAATGCAGTTTCCAGAACCCACAAAAATTTCTGCTGTTCAACATCTTCAGAAATTTTATGGAGAAGCTTAATGCCATGAGGTCAGTTGGCAGATAATACAAAATTCATCTGAACAGACAAATCTTAAACTGGTAATCAAGAACATCAGACGACTTTTAGCAAAAAACCCCAACTTTTGTCTTGGCTTAGTGAGTGGAATTTACTTGCTGAGAGGACACATCAGTGAAAACAGTGTACAAAGATTGTACATCCAGGAAGCATAGAGGGAAGGCAGAGTGGGACAACCTGTTTTGGCAGCAAGAAGCTGTTCAAAATTTTGAGCTGGTGTTTTACCATATGCTCTCAAAGTGTGATCATATGGGATAAAGAGAAAATGATAAAAAAAAATCTGAAAGAAAGAAAACTCATCATTAGATTACACAATATAATGCAGTTTCCAGAACCCACAAAAATTTCTGCTGTTCAACATCTTCAGAAATTTTATGGAGAAGCTTAATGCCATGAGGTCAGTTGGCAGATAATACAAAATTCATCTGAACAGACAAATCTTAAACTGGTAATCAAGAACATCAGAAGACTTTTAGCAAAAAACCCCAACTTTTGTCTTGGCTTAGTGAGTGGAATTTACTTGCTGAGAGGACACATCAGTGAAAAAAGTGTACAAAGATTGTACATCCAGGAATAAGGTGGAAGCATAGAGGGAAGGCAGAGTGGGACAACCTGTTTTGGCAGCAAGAAGCTGTTCAGTTGGCTTGGCTGTATCACTTGATAACACTCTTCATGTGACAGGGTAATAAATGACAAGTGAAATTTAATATACAGACACACAAAGTGACACACCCATGAAAGACAGCCCTCACCTTCCGTATTCACTTGTAAATCTGCACTCAGGAAAGGGTTTTCCACTCAGGAAAGGGTTTTCCACTCAGGAAAGAGATCTCAGACCGCTTGTTCATGGCTCTGTGGAGAGAACAGGTCAAGAAGTGACCCATGCAATGTTTGAGAATAGTAAGAAAAAAACAGAAGTAAGAAAGAAGCGTGATTGCTATAATATCATATCTTGAATATTGCATGTAGTTTTGTCCACAATGTCTGAAAAGAAGTATAAATAGAAAACATACAGGGCAGGATGAAAAGGTGGGGAATGTTTGAGGGTCTCAGGCTGCAATCCCAGAGCAGACTGTGGATTTAGTGCTGTAATCCCACTCCAAAATTCTTCATGCTGTCACTGAGCAGGTTCAACACAGTAACCTGGTAAAACACACACACACACACACACACACACACACACACACACACACTAAAAAAGAGTTTCCTGCCAGGTGACTGAGCTGAAATGGCACAGCCACATCTGTGGACATGGGCAGGGGGATACACGACAGAGGGAGGAAAGTGGCAGCCAGTCCTAGGAAACCTCTGCCTTCAGCTGTAGCTTCATAAACCATTTTGGCCAGCTTTGCTGATGAAATTAGGCCCAAGCTCTTTTGCCTGCAGCTACTTGCTGTCACCCCTGAAAGCCTCTCCCTTTTGGTGTTTGTGCAGCTGTTCAGAACTCAGTGGGGGAACTGATCTGAAACAAAATTAATCATTTTTGTTGGATTATTCTGATAGAGTTTGCAGCATGCAAGCACAAGAAAGGGATGTGGCAAAAGGACAGGAAAAAGCAACAGGGACATTGCTCCTTTGAGCAATGCTAGCTCAAAGAGGTTTGGAAACAAGTAAAAGACCAAAGCTCCACAGTTCAGGAAAATGGATGGTTCTGAAATCATATGAGAGAGGTCTATAAACTGGTATGCTGGAAACAAATAGGGCATGATCATTCATTATTTCTTAGATGACAAAAATTCAAGTACCCTGTAAAATTATTAAGCACTGGATTTAAAACCATTAAGGAAAAAGTTCCTGTCTAGCTTTTGTGCAAATTTGAGACCTTCCCACCACTCCTGGAGGCAGGTGTACCAACAGATGAAAAAGCTATTTGACAAATTCAAAGAGAAGTAGTACATTTGTGGCTGTTAGGGTTGCAGTGGATACAGTTTTCACCTGAGAGCTTTGCCTCTGCACTTCAGGAGCTGAAAACAGAAAGAAAGGCCACTTAATGTTGGTTTACATGTTTTTATACCTCTTACCTGTTTCTCTGCTATTGGCCATTGTCAGATAGAAGACACCAGCCTAGGGACAGTTGCTTTGAATGAGGCTGGCTCTTCTGTTTTCATCTACTTTACTTCAATTATATGTGATATGAATACATTGTTTACATTTGTTATGTTATATTTGCAGTATTTATTGTGAAGACACAAAGTCTGTATTAGACATATCTAAATAACAAAATAAAACTAAACAAGTTATTTTTCTGAAACAACTTATGCCACTGAAGTTTCTTGAAGAATGCACAGACATGGTGTTACTGTTACTGTCACACTTACCCTTTGACAGTGTAGTACAGATAAAAAGCATGGCTTTAAAGCAGTGGCAGTAGATAGCCTAAGAGCACCTCTGAGCTCTGACCCCACAGCTCTAGGTTACAGCTTCCCACGGTGGAAGTGTCCTGTGGAACTTTGGATGGACATAGGACAGTAAATCACGGCTTGCAATACATTGGTAACAAAAGACATTAATCTCTTTCCTGGCGAGTTCATCCTAAAATACTGGAACAAACTGAAAATGCATTTCTGACGAAAACCTGTGTTGGTGTGTGGGGAGAGCCCAAGTATCTAATTTACGGCAGGACTGGGTTGGGTTTTGTGCCAGCTTCTCCCTTCCTAGCGATGAGCCCCGGAGCTATTAAAGAGATGTGCCTGGGGGTGAGGGCGCAGTCTCCCCGCGTCCTGCCGGCCGCCCATCGGCCCGACTCGCCGTGACCGCCCCCGCCGCTCGGCACGGCCAGGTACGCGGGGCCGGGCCGGCGGCCGCTCCGCCGCGAGGTGTGTCCGTGAGCAGCGGCTCGGCGGTGCCTTGTGAGGATTGGGCAGGGCGGGCGAGCGGCTCCGCGGCTCCCCCGCCGGGCTCCGCCGCCGCGCTCCCGCAGTAGCAGCGCGCTCGCCGCCTCCGCTCCGCTCCCGCTCCGCGCCGCTCCCGCCGCGCCGCCAGCGCCCGCCCCGGCCCCGGCCGCCGCCGCATCGTGATGCCGCATCCCGCGGCGCCCCTCGGGGCCGCCCTGCTGCTCGTCCTGCTGGCGGCGGACTCCTCGCAGAGTGAGTACCGCGGGGGCGTTCGTCCCTCCCGCACTCGCCTCCGAGCATCCCCCGCCGCCCTGCGTGTGTGCGAGCGCGGGCTGTGCTGCGGAGCGGGTGGGGTGCGGGGGGATGCGCGGCTTCGCGGCTGCGGTGAGGGCGGCGGCGGGGTCAGGGGATGCGGGTGAGGGGCCGCGCTGAGGCCGGGGAGACCCACGGGTGGCGCCCCGAGCAGGGAGAGCGCTCGGTGCCCCCCGGAGGGGCGGTGTGCTGTGCGGGGTGAGGGTCGGGGGATCCGGGGCGATCAGGCGGACTCGGCTGTTCACCGCTGCCTGTCCTTGCTCCTGCTCCTCTCCTCCTCCTCGTCCTGCCCCGGCCTCCCCCGCGCCGTCCCGGCGCTCGCTGCCCAGCCGTGCTGCTGCGCGCCCCGGAAGCTGCCCAGTTCCTGCGGCACAGGCAGCGGCGAGCCTACCAGATCTTCGAGGAGACCAAGCAAGGGCACCTGGAGAGGGAGTGCGTGGAGGAGCACTGCAGCAAGGAGGAGGCCCGGGAGGTGTTTGAGAATGACCCCGAGACGGTAAGGACACAGCCGCCGAGGAGATTTGGGGGGTTGTCCGGCTCTGCGCTCCCGCCCACCCTCTATCCGCGGCTGGATGCCAGCTACCGGCACAGCTGGGAAAGGCATCTGGAGGAGGAGGACCCAGGGCCATTAGGTGAATGACTGGGAGACACACTGGTGCTCGTTCTGCACAAGGGCAGTGCCGGGGCGGTCCGGTCAGCAGCGTCCCTGTGAGCGTGGTCTGAGTGAGCGGCCCAGCCTGGCACTGGCGGGCAGGACTGCCACTGCCGGGTAGGAGGGTCCTGTTCACCCATGGTCCAAATCCATGAAACAAGACCAGTGCAATATAATGATGCAGACAGCTTCTCTCTCTGGATACCCTGCTTTTCCCTCCAGCTTTCCATCCCAGCTGTTTTTAAAATCCCCTTAATGTTGCAGTGTATGTCACAACTGGGGCTTCTCAGACAAATGTCCTAACCCCTCTTAAATCCACGGGGACCAATTCAGCTTGGTTGGCATCTTAGAATCAGTGGGATCAGGACCTGTCACTACAACAGCAGGAGAGCACATATATGGGAACATGGTGCTGCTGCATTTCTAACACTGTGGATTCACACAATTACAGACTGCACACCATAAGTGGAGCTGTCTTTTCCAGTCTTATAAAGGTTGACTTTCATTTCAGTCTTCTCACTTTGAGCAGCAGGAGGATGCTTTACTGAGCTTGGCTTACTCCTCCAGCCACTTTACACTTCCTCTCAACGCTGTTTTGGATAGGCTGTTCTCATTGCAAGGACTATCTGGCATTGATTTAGCAGTGTGAAGCGGATTTTCTTGGTGTTCAAGCTGAAGCTCAGTTCTGCACAGCATGTTCCTGTTAATGGTATGGTGCTCTAGGGAGAAGATAGGACAGAGAGGGAGAAAGAGAGAGAGAGAGCGAGCACGTGTGTGTGTACACAGAGGCACAAACCACAGGCAAGGGAGGGATTTAGCAGAGGAGATGTTTTATGCTCTAGTAAGGCAAGTCTTGACATGTGTGCATCATTAGCAGCCTCAGCACTGGATAGACAGTGCGGTAGCTTGCTGTCACAAGACAGTAGTAAGTACAGCAAAAACAAAGTGATGTGTTTTTGACCGCCTTTATTTTCGAGATTAATATGGAACACTTGCCCAAGTGGTGTTTAATGTTACACCTTTTATGTGTCTGTGTTGTCACATCTGCATGTAGCAGTGTTTGCTTCTGTTCTGCAGAAACTGGGCTACTTCAGAATGTCTAACTGTAATGGGGTGAGAGTGGCTGGCACAGCTACCGTATTTAAAATACAAATATTCATCACATAGCAGTGCGTACTGGGAAAACTATGATGAGTGTGATTTTGTACCCTTCTGGAACAAAGGTGATCTAAGGTCACTGCTTTTACTAACTGGCTGCTGGCCAAGAAGGTAGCCAAAGGCGATGCACTGATAGATCAGTTTAAGGGTAGGTTAGTGTACAAATATGTCAGGAGTTTTTAACAGCATTTGGTACTGATTTTGTAAATTTTAAAGAATACACAGTACTCCTACTGAAATGGCAATAGTGTAATCATTTTGGTTTAAAATCTTTTCATGTATAATAGAAATTCTTTATGATACCATCATATTTTCAGTGTGTTTTGTAGGACAATGCTGGCTTTCTATTATTGCAAGTGATTTTGATTTTTTTGGTGTATTTCCTTTGCTATTGCTGCTAGGTTTCACTCTGTTCTGAAAACCTAAAGAAAGGCTAGATGGGCTTCTAGTGTCTGTGCCCCCTAACATGTCCTTCTACACGAGGACACTTAGATCTGCAGTGACATAAGATTCTACCTTTTCTGAGACACAAACTTCCCAAGAGCTGTGGAGTTGCTTGTTAAGTGCAGTATGTTCTACTCCTTGCATTACTTTGCTTCATGATTGAGAAGCAAGTGTGCCATAATATATCAGGGGGATGTGTGGCCCTTCCTGTCCCTTTTGCAATGACCATGTGACGTGAAAGCAGCAGCTGCCATTCAGTAGCAGCTTTCTAATGCATGGTGGCAGAGGTTATGTATGTGGGCTGTTGCTGCTCTGCACTGGAAGACTTCACTCTTTTGTAGTGCACAGGTGACTGCTCTTTCAGCAGTAACTGTGGATTTCATGGACAGAGTATTAACTCACAATGGAAGTGTATTTTGAACAGCAGGGAGTTGTGCTGTCATTTCACTGATGCTGTGTTGTACATCCAGTCCTAGTGACTGACAGAAAAAGGAAGACCTGACTTAGGAAAGCCAAAAACTGTTGTAAACAACACCCAGCTTTTTTAAGAATTACAGTAACTGCAGTCCTGCTTCAGCGTATTGCCAGGCTTCAGCTGATCCATGCTGGTAAAGTGACCAGGGAAATCTGGTGACCAGGGAAATGAACAGATTGCTGTTGACAGAAGAAGATTCCTTGTAGTTTAGGAAGGGTGAAATTTCTGCGTGTGCCTGCTGAACATGGTCACATGGATTAACTATTTAGGTTGTAGCAGAAAGAAGCTGCTACAGTACTTTTTGCCCTGTGCTGAGCTCTGTGAGGCTATGCAGGCAAGCCATGACAAACACAGCAGTGCAGTCTGTCCTGTTGCATCTCCCAGGTTCTATGCTTTAAAGCACCAGATGAGCATCTGTGTAGGCATTTGGCTGTTTGCTGTCTCACGGGAGCAATAGTTTTTCAGCCTTGATAACTGAAAGTTAGTTTCAGATTACTTGATCAATCTTGGTGCTTTTCAGTTCAGCCTCAAGAAAGGCTTGTGATGTTAGACCAAAAGTGTGGGCCCTCTTCCTTTTTCCCCTTCATTAAATGCTAATGAAATGAATGAGTCTTCCTTACCAACCTTGCCTTTCTTGATTATCCTGTGATTGTGTGAGAAGAATTTCAAGGCCTATGTTTAAGACCTATGACCTAAAGATGCGATAAGAAATTTCATTAGCTGATTCAATAAAACAGTTCCAGAAGCTGAGGTAAGACAAAGCAAGGCTGTAACACAGCTCACATGATGCTTCTTAGGTGAAACTATATCTTTATGCAGCCGGTTGTAACATCTAGACAAGAATTTCACAGAAAGATACCTATTTCCTGGACAGACCAGTAAATGAAAGGGCATGTCACACACCTACACCCTTTTTCTGGGCCTTTGTTTCAGTGATCAGCTTTCCATAACAACATCTGCAGGCAGTCAGCAGAAGATGCACATTCTCTGAAACCTGAGTGTGGATTTTGCCTCATGTGTGATTACTTACATCAGCTGCTAAGAATAGTGTGTCAGGCGGGGTCCAAGAGCCATTCATGTGCAGGGCAGTGCAGCTTTTGTCTTTTATGTTACGGAAAATATAAATATCAGCTCACTCAGACTAGAGGAAGGAAGATCAATTGAAACATTTTTAGATTTTTTTTTAAGAAGCAGAACAAAGCTCAGTCTGTGCCACTTGTATGACTATACATGGTAAAAGCAAGTAGCCTGGATTAATGAGTCTTGCAGCCTACCTTTTTCATGAAGCTGATTATAGCATCCTTAAACATTACTGCAGAATTCTGGGAGGGTTCCTGTTTTGTAATTTCATTTGTGTTAGAGGTGCCAAACAGAAAAATTAAAAGATAATATGGTGGTAAAAAAAAGAAGGAGGGAAAACATCTTGATGGGAGGTATGCAGACATTTTCTAAATGTGGTCTATCCAAAATACTTGCTAGGTGTGATAGATGGGATGAAGTTGCAAAATATATTGGATACAGAGATAAGAATGTTATCTTATTTAAGATGTTGACAAGGCCTTATAAAAGCAGCACTGCAGAAATATTTGACCTTGGTATGCAGTCAAGGTATTACAGCTTGTTAAGTGACTGATAAACTGCTCTGGAATTTGGTTGACCCATTCTAAAAATCTGGTCATCCAAGCATGTAAAACAAAGGCCAGAAGGGAGTGTAGATCCTGATCTTCTTAGAAACATTGTATTTCACTGAGGAAAAAAGTGTCCTTGTGAGAGGAGTTTCTCTGTTTTGAACGGCTCAGCATAGGGAAGGTGTTTAAATGCAGCCTCTAATCCTTTGGTACCATAGTACAGCATCTGTCCCTGCACATCTTGCTTGCTGTTGTTACTGCTGAAGAATTACTGCTCTTCCTGCAGCTCATCATAGAAATTACTATGCTGAATGCATTGAAAAATGTTAGGCACAGCAGAAGCGCTGATGTAGGTCAGCCTGGCCACCTGTGTTTACTGTTTGTGGATTTGGCCCTCGGTGGAGCACTGTGGAAAGCCAGCTGGTTTCCCTGTGCGTGCAGAATGGACATCTGATTCATAGGCAGACACGTGGATTTTGAGGGACTTGCATCCAAAATGTTTTTACATCTACAGCTTGTCAGATACACAAAACACTGGCAGAGAGTCACAGCATAACTTGGAACTGAAGAGGAATCTGCTCCACTGTCCCACTCATGGCAAGGGCAGCAGTCGCACCAGACCATGTTTTTGGGGGCTTTTAGTGATCTTCTCTTGAAAATTACTGATCCTAACAAAACACCCAGCAATGTCAACATTCTTTCTGCTAGGCTGGGTTTATTGAGAAGCTGAAAAGCAGATGAAGCAATGTATAGGGTGTGGTAAGGGTCAGTTTGGTTGGTTTTCAGCGTGTTGATTGCTCACTGGTTTTATTTTTTATGTGTTTTATGTTTATAACATGACATGGTCTTCATAACACAGATGAGCTGCATCCATGGACTCAGGTCATCCAAACTTCATTCTGATCTTTTAGGAGGCATGCTTGTCAGGCAATGTTTAGATGTTATTTCTAAGAATAACAAGGTAGACACATGCTTGTAAACATTAATCAGTAAAGTATGAAGGCATGTAGAGGGAGGAGAGGAGTTACTGGGAGAGTAAAGCAGTGTAAAATTTCTTTAAGTAATTTAGTGAATGTTGTGCAGTCTAGACATGGAAAATACTGATATCATCTTTAGATACAGATGTTATCATCCCTGTA